CTCCGAGACCGCCTTCTGCCGCAGATTACCTCCCATAGACCGGTACGCTCCCACAGAGCGGGCCTCCTCAGGGTGCCGTCGGCCAAACAGTGTCGGCTGGCGACCCCCAGGGGGAGGGCCTTCTCTGTGGGAGCCCCCACCCTGTGGAATGAACTTCCCCCAGAGATCCGGATTATTCCGGATCTCCCCTCCTTCCGCCATGCCCTCAAGACATGGCTTTTCCATCAAGCGGGATTGGCCTAGGGGGGGGATTGTATAGGGATTTTAATAGGGATTTTATAATTTTTCTAAAAATAACAGGCTTATTTAATATATATTTTAATTGTTTTTAGATATTTATTGTATAGTTCCGTTTTTATTGCCTGTAAGCCGCCCTGAGTCCTTCGGGAGAAGGGCGGGGTATAAATTAAAGTAATAAATAAATAAATAAATAAATACAGAGATATTAAGGATTATACGGTATATACACTCCTGAAATGTATTCATCATAAAGAAGATTTTAAAATGATATATTATAAATGAATACCATATGATAAAAATAACCTGCTTTGTTAGATAAATATATTTGGAAAAGTCATGCAAATTAAGTGAATATCAGTGGAAAGAACTGTTATTTTGAGATTTTAATATTTTCTCCATATATTCTGTAGCTATAATAGCAGCCTGTGGTAATTGTTGGTACCACAGTTGTATCAGCACCCATATCCTTCAGCAGGTATGGGGAGAGGGATAGTTCTACCCATTATTAAGCTATCTATTTTGCACAAATGCCTGTATTTAGAAAAGGTGGCTTGTTATCTCAACATCTTGACATATTTAAATAAATTAGCATTTAAATAAATTAGTTCTTAACTGTTTCAAGTTTTAAATGTTCCATATTAATTATGTGTATGCCATTAGTTGAAAATGAAATTGCTCAGAATCTTGTTCAAGTAGATTCATTTTCAACTATCTATCCATCTTTAACAATGAAGATACCAAAATAGTAGATAGCTTCTGCTTTTTAAAAGCAACCATCAATAGTAAAGGCACAAGCAGTCAAGAAATATGCAGCCCACTAGCATTTTGTAGAACAATCAGGAAGGCCTTGGAAAAGATATTCAGATGCCAGGAGATCAGACTAGTAGAGGCAATGTTATTCTTTGTGACACTCTATGGAAGTGAAAGATAGACTTTGAAGAAGCAGGGTAGAAAGATTGTTGATGTTTTTGAAATGTGATATTGATAGTTGTGTTCCTGAGAATACCACGAATAAACAACAACAACAACAAGCAGATGGGTCATGGGACAATTCAAGCCAGAGTTTTCACTCAAAGCACAAATGATGAGGCTCAAATTATCCTACTTAGACAGATTATGTGAAGAAGGCTGTAAATGTGAAGAATGCTGGAAAAAGTATAAGGCAGTGATGGCGAACCTTTTAGAGACCGAGTGCCCAAACTGCAACCCAAAACCCACTTATGTATCATCGAGTGCTGGGTGGGTGTAGCCCATGGGGTGGGTGTGGCCCATTGGGTGGGCGTGGCTGCGGTGGTAATGGCAGACTGGGTAATGGCAGACTGGGTGGGACTGAAAAGTTCAATCAATCAAATCCAACCTTGCGAGATCTTTTTTTTTCCCACGAGAAGTTGAAATTGATTGATTGATTGAACCTCTTTTTTTGCACATGGCGGAGGGAAAAGGTTTTATAAAACCCAGCTGAAGGCCTAGGACTGGGGCGAGGGTATGCGTGCCCACAGAGAGGGCTTTGTGTGCCACCTGTGGCACGTGTGCCATAGGTTTGCCACCACGGGTAAAAGGTAAAGAGAAGGTAGATGGACTCAGTTACAAACCACTTACAGCTTTATTGCAGGCCAACATGGCATTAAGTAACATAGACCCATCCCCTTGGATATTCTGAAAGGGTTTCAAGACCTGGTTATGTAATCAGATCTGGAACCAGAGATTTCGCTAGATGGCTCCACTGTTGAGGGGAGCATTTTTTATTCACTTGGATTGTATTTTTGAGATTTGGGGGATATTTATTACTCTGCTTTTTTATATTGGTATTTACTGCTTTTTGTACACATACCCACACCCACACACTATCGTTGTGGACTGCCCAGAGTCACCATTCGTAAAATTGGCAGCTATATAAATGTGATAAAATAAAATAATAAAATAAAATAAAATAAATAATATAATAAAATAATAAAATAAAATAATAAAATAATAAAATAAAATAAAATAAATAAAATAATATAAAATAATAAAATAAAATAAATAAATAAAATATAAAATAAAATAAAATAAAATAAAATAAAATAAAATAAAATAAAATAAATAAAATAAAATAAAATAAAATAAAATAAAATAAAATAAAATAAAATAATAAATAAAGAGCTGCAGTACAGAGCTGCTAAAGCTTCAGATTTGGGGCTGAACATGGGAATCAGAACCACCTTCCCTAGGAGTGGCCTGCCCCTGTCTTCTTCATATTTCCCCCTGCCTGCCACTACTAATGAAAGCTGGGATTTTCAGTTTTAAATTTGACTGTACTTGCATTTGAATGTCTTTTTAAGGAATCTTCAGAGTTTTCTTTTCTGCAATTATTTTATATTTAATGAGGTTGGCCATTTTGATAGGCAGGCTGGCCGGCAGGCAATAAATAGTTAATGAAACAAAATAAAATTTAAAAAGAATTTTTTCTCAGATAAGAAAAGCCATTTAATAACTTTGGATGCTTTTGCTCATAGCAATTTCATAGCTGTGGTCTGCAGCCCCCAGGGGCTTGGCACACGAAGCTATGCTTGGCAGGCTTTCCTATAGACTCATCAAGTCTGAGTCAACCATGGTCAGTTGCTGGCCTGCATAATTTTAGCAATTCTTGTTAAAGTCAAGACCTTGAGAAGAAAGGGGATGACTGGTTTGGGCATGTGGGAGTTTTCCCAACATTCTGGGGAAATTATGTATATATATAAAGTTTAGACTTCAAATAGACCATTCAGAATCCATAAGATTGAAGTTAGATATCATTTCAAAGTAGTTCTCAATCTACCTGTTAGTCCCTATCTATGTTTAACTAAACTTATTTGAAAGCAGAACAGACATCTTTGGATGAGATTCTTCCTACTCCTACACCACAATTGTGTTCCCCCTCCCCCAACCTCACCTAGTACTGCTCCAAAAGTTTACAACTCTCCAGAACTGGACCGGAAGCTTATCTCTACTTGTGCAACATTGGATTGCATTTGTTTTATATGTATTTAAGTAATACTGTAATCATATCTACAGAACTGTGAAATGAATTGTCCAAACACAAGGGACTTTCCTTCTACTCAGTATCTCAGAACTCAGTGCTACTGGCTTATTGCCAAATACATAGCTTTAGAGCTTGATTTCTTCTGATTTCTAATTCCTCATATTCCATACCAATACTGAATCTCTAGGGAGTCTTTGAAGCATCAGCCTTTGCCACCCAGACAACTGTTTGGAACCAGATTGTTGTTGTTGTTATTTTCAATAATTGTTTAAAATATTCTTTTCAACTACTTCACCCATTTCAAATCCTAAGGGTGGGAGAGAACTTGAGTAAACTATAGGCCACTAGAATAGTATCATGTATTTACAGGATTATTTTTCTTGGCATGCGGTTTAGGCTTTACATGCTATGTGGCTGAAACCAGATTAGCTTCTGGTGCTAAAGAATACTCACTAAGAATTTGCTAGCCCTGACGAATCATTGTATATGCTTACAAGTTTGTTATTTTAGTGTAATGATGCAAATTCTACAGATTGTTTCACCACTCCTGTAGTATTCTCTATTTAAGAAAGAACAACTGTGAGCGCTTATTTTTAGAATTTGCTCGGCAGCTGCTTCCAAACGAAGTCCACATTCCATGTGCTTCTCCGATGTGTAGAAATATGTTGTGTCACACTGATCTAAAGCTTTGTGCAACCTTTCTCTATTTCAGCTTTGGTTTGCATTTGTTAATGGATTCTCTGGACAGATTTTATTTGAGCGCTGGTGCATTGGACTCTACAATGTGGTAAGTGTTCTCCCCCCTCCACTTGATAATAGGCCAAACAGGGGATGGCATTCCAGGGTTGTTCATGTCTGTGCAGTGTATTTCATCTGATCCTCTCTATTGGGCTATTTTACTTAGGCTTGCTGGCCAGTAAATCTGAACAAAAATAGAAAGCTTTTGCTTTTATTCCTAATCTGAAATAATTCTTTAAAAATGTAAATAATTCTTTTAAACCTAGCAAATGCCTCCACAATTTATGGCCAATCAAGTACAAGTGGCCCTGTCAACTTTCAACTGACTTGACAATCAAGCAGGGGACAACAGGATATGGTTCAATTGTCTTTTGAATGGAATTCTACTTTAACTCTAAAGTAGGCAACAGTTCAGATAAGACTTAAGATAAGATAAGATAAGATAAGATAAGATAAGATAAGATAAGATAAGATAAGATAAGATAAGATAAGATAAGATAAGATAACCTTTATTGTCATTTTTATACTGTGGGCACAATGGCACACATCAAAAATGAAATTTAGTTGCCCGCTCTCAAAGTGAAACACATACATGACACACACCTAAACATACTATGAACATACTATGAAGATACAGAAGGATAGGCTCATTTCCAAGGCTCAGAGACTGCATTGAACAGCCACAGTTGAGGTCACCAGAGAGTGGAATTGTCACAGAAATTGACAATACTAATTGGGCAGATGGATGCATTTCAAGAATTGGAATGAAAGTGGCAAACCAAGATTTTCCTACTTCTTAAATAGAGGACTGGCTCTTGAGAGCATTTTAATAGAGGATATGCAGTCATTTTCTCTGATATGTAACTATACATGCTGATGGCTCATTTTTACTAGCTGAGTCAGCTGTTGTCACATAATTATCACATAGTTATCCTAATGTTTTAATAATAATATTTTAATATTTAATAAGAAATCTAATTTAGTTGATATGACCCCACTCAGTGGAGAAGACACTGGAGACACAACATTTTGTCATGCTTGATTAATTCATGATTAGACCAAGAAAACCAACCACTAAATGTTATTATCAATCTCAAATAAGCCTAAACTAAGCATAATCCACCAAATTTCTGGTATAAATATTTACCATCATAAATATATTTCAGCTCAACACTAATAGAAATACAATATTCCCAGAAAACATGAAAATATTGTCTTATTCTAAGATACTCATGCAATTTTTCTAAAACAAAGGAAGCCTAACACTAACACTAAGCTCTCCCAAATGACAGTCCAAATATTTGGTATCCTGCTATACTCAGTATAAATTTGTCTACCGCAAAACATTAAAAAATGGTCAAGTCTGAATAGTAAATATTACCATTAACCTCAAGGAAGCCTAAGTAAATATTCAATCCTATCTTCAATCTAAACCTTAAAACATAAGGTTATCTTTAATGATAAAAGTTAATCCTGAATCTAATGTAATTCCCAATTTTATTACCAAGTTCAAGAAAACCTAATTCTTCCTCCTACAAAATGACAATACAAATATTTAAACTAAGAATCACTCAACACTCTATAGAAGCCTTAATTTAAACTTAACATTGTTTTGATTGAATATGTGCCATTTAGTTGGTGTCAACGTGGATAGATTTGCTCTGTGACAATCAGTCTGTAAGCTAGTATTTTAGATCTTCCAATGGTGCACTCATCACTACTATAAGTGAGTCCATCCACTTTGCTGCTGGTCATTCTCTTCTTCTCTTTCCTTCCCTCTTTCCCAGCATTATAGGCTTCTCTAGAGACCTAGGTCCAACGTATAATACAGTATAATGTATCTGAATTATACCGTATTTGAACCTCATAATTTGCACCTCAAACGAAAAATCTGGGTTGATTTGTCTGCTGGTCCTTTTGTTTGTTTCTTACTAAACATAAAATTTCAAGTGAATCATTAATCATTCATTCATTGATTCATTCATTCATTCGCTGTAACTAATCTCCATATCCCTTATCCAAGGATGCACCATATGCACAGAAGATATATATTGGATTTTACTATCAGCATCAAGGAAGCATTAATGTACTCCTATCCTTAGATAAGTGCCAGTATAAATATTCAACCTAAAAGATCCTGCATGCACAATTCTAAAAGCACATACTAAATTTTTCCACTAATGTCAAGGAAGCAGAACCTTAATCCTAACCTCTCAGAAATACCATTTTAAATATTTAACATAATACTCTCTTCAAACTCAGCCCTAATCCCATGTAAATATAAGGCTACAACTAACTATAAAAAAAAACCTGTTCTGGATCAGAATAGCACATATTAAATATTCCTCAAGGAAGCTGAACCCTAACACTGACTTATACAGAATACCAATAGAAAAATTCAATCTTAAGATCATTCTATACTGATTCTAAATCATAATTAAGTTGAAAAATTACCACTAAGTATAAAAAGATTCCTTGGTTTCAAAGATACATTAAACTATATCTTGGGAACTACTATACAACTATTAAGTGATCATAAATCTTGGAAAAGCCAAATACTGGCCTAACCTACTCAGAATAACAGCAGAAAAACTCTAATTTAAAACTTGGAGTACACTATGCATAAAAAACTCACTCTGGGTGTAATGTATATATTAAATTTTAACATAAATTTCAAAGAAGCCTAATCCTAACTGTAATCTCACCAAATGCCAGGATAAATGTTGAGCCATAAAAATATTTCTGTATTCAATCTGAAGATAACTTAAAGCTGAGACTGCTACTAAACACAAGAACACTCACACTCACTAATTCTAACTAATAGATTAAATGTTACTATAAAATTCAAGCACACATGTATGCAGGTATATTTATCATATTTTCAAAATCGCTGTTCTCCTTCACAGAGGCATTCTGAAAATATATTAATTTTTTGTAATTCATCTCATAAACTTCATTAGTCTCAAAGATCTTTTTTGCTTTTGCTTCCTATGGACCAAAACTGTCCACTTGTCTGGAAATAATTAACAGGCAGGGAGTAAAAGAATTAATTTAACATTAATGGTTAAATGGTTTAGAAAACCATTTCCCAAGTAGTCCTCAATTTATGACTGTAATTGAACCCAGAATGATGGTCGTAAGTACAGTAAATGGGTTACCACATGACCGCACCCAATTTTACAACCTTTATTGCAGCAATTTTTAGGTATATGCAGTGGTTGTTAAACAAGTCAATTTTCTTCAATGGGCGTTTTTTGCCAGAAACCAGCAAAAACTGCCAAAAATCACAGTCTTATGACCATGGGATGCTGCAAATGGCCATAAACGCAAGGCAGTTGCCAAGAGTCCAAAGTGCAAAGGGGAAGGCAAATGTTAGAACTTTGAAAACAGCTCTGAGAAGGTCTGCTTTAACTTCAAATGGTTGCTAAGCAACTGTTATTAAATGAGGATTACCTGTCATGAAAGAAACTGAAGAGACAATCTTCACTCAGTTGCTATAAATGCCTTGAGCATTTATATTATTTCAAATACATGATAGCAGTAATCAATCTAGGCTGCTAAAGGTAGCTTAAAGTAGGGGTTCCCAACTCCCGACTGCAGATTGGTACCGGTCCATGGCCTGTTAGGAACCAGGCCACGCAAGCAGTGGGCAAATGAGGAAGCTTCATCAGTGCATGCACGGGATCTAGATTGTATGCAAAACCATCCCCTCCTCCCTCCCGACCGGCTCATGGAAAAATTGTATTTCACAAAACTAGTCCCTGGTGCCAGAAAGCTTGGGGACCGCTGGCTTAAAATGTATTCTGAATTGCCTTTGTTTTATAAGCTGTTGATTCAGAGGCCTCTTATTTTTTTTATTGAATAGAAGTCATGGGACACTTTCCTTCAGTCAGCTGCAGCCTTCTGCTTTGCTGTCTAGTACCATATAATAAAAACTTGCCTACTTCAGGCATCTAACTTAGATTCAGCACAACTGAATTTAGTAAAGCTGTTGATGTGGATTTTAACAATGTCAGGATTCTTTCCAGGTATGACGTATACTTTTCAACTTGTTTATAAAGTTAATGGTCTGTTATTTTTAATTACTGCCTTTGTTTTTTCTAGATTTTTACAGCATTACCTCCCTTCACCTTGGGAATCTTTGAACGATCCTGCTCCCAAGACAACATGCTTAGGTTTCCCCAGCTCTACAAAATTACTCAAAATGCTGATGGGTTCAATAGCAGGGTAAGAGGCAATGTTTACCTAGAGGGAAGGATTAAAAACAACAGGGCTATATTAGCTTAAAGCTGAAATTTTAATTTACAGCTGCTATTTCAGATTGAAATGATTAATCCTTAATGTTCATCCTTAATAAATGCTAGGTCTGGTAGGGGTAGTAAATCAGCTTCCAACTGTGAATGGTAATCATGGCACAACTCAACTGTGGTTTATCTAAACTGAAAGTAGATATTTATGATCTCCTCATAGCCCTAACAGAGAAGAAGGTCTGCTTGGTGGAAAGAAAAACAATGTTGACTACTCTTTGGTTTATGTGAATTCAGATTATGGGGGAAGATTACATGTAAAACAACCCTATCAGAAAATACTAATATAATTATATACCTAATAAAAAGTAAGAATTAAAAGGTTGTGAAATATTAAGAAATAGACAAAAGGGCATCATTATAGCTAAATGTTCTTGGTCCCAAAAGATTAATTGAGTAGATGTTGGTAAGACCTCTTGGAGAAGAATAATGCTACACCATCACTGAAAATGGATTGGGACAACTCACCGTATCCAACCCACCACAGGACAATTCACTGCAGGACAACTTGCCAAAGGACAATTCAACAAATACAAAAGTTAAATTAATTTCAATGGAACCGTGGCCAATAATAATAAAATAAAGAAGTCAATCCAGAAATAGAACAGAACAGAACAGAATAGAATAGAGCTGGAGGTCTTCTAGTCCAGCCCCCCCCCCCGCTCAAGCGGGAGAACCTATACCATCTCAGACAGGTGATTGTCTAGTCTCTTCTTAAAAATCTCCAGTGATAGAATGCCCATGATTTCTGGAGCTGTTCCACTGGTTGATTGTCCTCACTGTCAGAAAGTTTCTCCTTAATTCCAGGTTGCTTCTCTCTTTGATCAGTTTCCAACCATTGTTTCTCATCCTGCCCTCTGGTGCTTTATGGCAGCCCCTCAAATACCAGAATATTGCTATCATGTCTCCTCTATTTCTTCTTTTCTTTAGACTAGCCAAACCCAAGTCCTGCAGCCGTTCTTCATATGTATTTGTCTCCAGTTGCTCTTCTCTGAATTTTTCCCAAACTCTCAACATCTTTTTTCTGATATGATGACCAAAATTGGCTGCAGTATTCCAGGTGTGGTCTTACTAGGGTTTTATAAAGCGGTACGAATACCTCATGTGAACTTGATTCTATGTCTCTGTTTATCCAACCCAGGATTGTATTAGCTTTTTTGGCTGCTGCTGCACATTGCTGGCTCATGGTTAAGTGATCATCCACTAGACTAGCACTCCAAGGTCCCTCTCACAGTTACTGTTTTTAAGCCAAGTCTTGCCCAGTCTGTACTTGTACCTTTGATTTTTCCTGCCTAAATGTAAAACTTTGCTTTTCTCCACATTGAAACTCATTTTGTTGGATAGGCCCATTGTTCAAGTTTGTCTAGATCTTTTTGGATCCTGAGCTTGTCTTCTGGGGTGTTGGCTATTCCTGCCAGTTTGGTGTCATCTGCAAATTTGAAGAGTTCCCCTTCAATTCCCTCATCTAAGTCATTTATGAAGATACAAGAATTAGAATAATTTCGCTGAAAATGTGGTCACCAATAATAAATATAACTGAATGAAATTATTAATACAGCATTGAATTGTCCCACAGCGAGTTGGCCATGGCTAGTGGATTGTTGCAAGTGGGCCACAAGAAGTTGGCTGTGACACGTTGTCCTAGACCTCACAGAAAAGGCCTCTTCCTCATAAATATCTACATTTTGCAGAGGGGGTTAGTTGCAAAAAAAAAGGCTTAAAATCTTAATGGATACAAGTTAACAATCCAAGTTTCATATCATTAGCCATGAAAGACAGTCAAATGTCAGAAATAGTACAACTGCAGCATTATATACTGACATTTCTATCTGGAAATTCCAAATTATCTCACTTTACCAACAAACCCATGTTAAAAGATAATGGATGTCATCAAGCATTAGGCTGAGCAAGACCATGTTAACAGATAACTCATGTGGAACTCCAGTATATTGCTCCCTGGTCAGTGCTGTCACTGCTTGGGTTCCTGAAAGAAGAAATGCTCAAATCCATGTAGACACCTACATTTAAGAATAGGTTGAGCTTCCTTGTACCGAGGAAATGCAGTTTATACATTCATGCTTATATCTTTCTTATTCTTAAAGGCAGCTCAACCCTAGGAATAGGTACAAAATTTATGGTAATGTTTAGAATAATTTAAGCTTTGAATATTAACTTCTAAGAGCTGGTTCTCATTATCTTTTGAGCCACGGCAACTAGACTGTCTACAACATTGGCAGTATTTTGGCATCCAGCTGCAACAGGGTACCCAAAAATGTCTGCTTCATTTAGCATGTTGAATTGGCAGGAGTTACGCTTGCTAATTCCTTCCAAAGCATGATGACTCTCACTGGGTGAAATCCCCTCTTCCCTGCTAAAAGTTGAAAAGGTCAGGCATAGGGTTCCAAATTGGAATATTAACCATATACATTTATAAGAGCCTCTATGCTTACGTATGAATTAATATCTCTGTGTGTTCTTTTCACTAAGTTCCAACTGATTTGGTATTTGGCCATGAAATGTTCCCACACTTTTACCTGTTGCCTTTTCACCACTTCCTCTCAAGAGATTCTAGGAAAAATATTGAGATGACTTTATTGTTCCCTTCAGGTTATAGGTTTAAAAAGATGTTTCAGGGAGATACGCAGGTAAAGTTACACTTAATATTTTCTTTTCATATTTTGGAGAATTTCCTCCACTCTCAGTTTTCACTTTTTATTAACCTACTCTATCTAATAAAACTTTAGCAGTTCAGAGCTTAAGGAACAGAAAAGGTCTAAGATGGTGCTGCTTATAGTGGTTTAAGATTTCAAAAGATTGCATTTTTATGTGGGTTCTTAATGAACATAAAAATAGCGTAAGAAACTATGAGGACTGGATTTTGTTGTTTTGCATGTATCTTTCTGTCATCCTATTATTACAGAAATAAAGAGTAAACAGGATTGTTTTGAGTCTTGCTGAATATCTGAATTAGTTGCCTGGTCACTGTATTTTTACATAGCAATGTGTGTTTTAGAACGTACTCAAAAATTAGATGACAGTGATCAATGTGATTAAAAATATTTCTGAATGTGGTGAATGACTTTCAAAACTCAGCAAATTTAGGAAATAAAATTTTCATCACTGCAACAAGGTAAAAACTTTGTTTCTCTCACTAGATTTCAAGGGAACATTTGCTTGAATTATAAAGCAGATGGCAGTTTCTGAGAAGAAACGGTTGTCAAAACGTGGGGATAAAATAAAAGAATTAAATGTAACACAAGAGAGAGAAAATGGAAATGAAACAAGGGCAAATGTTTTCTGCTATTATTACAGTATTATATTAGGAAATGCCCTCTCCAATCAGAAAAGGGAAAGGAAAAATACCCATCCTACAATTACCAGTTCACACAAAAAGTTCATGAATGAGTAAAATATTTGAATATGCCAGGGAAAAATTGAAAATCCCACCCTACTTCTTTCTAATAATATAATAACTCTGCAAAAGTTTCTGCATCCTTTGACTCCCCAAGAAGTAATTGTTTTAAAAAGGATGATTCCTAGTCCAAAAAGATTCCCAAACTCTAGAATTCCCTGTATTAATTATATAACTAACCCTCCCCCCCATTATTAATTGTATTCATATATTTAAAGCTAAATTTACTCAGTGTCACATTTTCATGGTTTCCTTGGCTGATTTATATGAACAAACATCCAAACACAATAAAGAATAGAAAATGGATACTTGAGGTATGGTTTTCCTCCACCTAAAATTCAACTCCAGGAAACACAAAGGCATGCTTCATTATAGTGTTTGGATTGATAAATATAAAAACATTTTAAAAAATCTAAAACATGGAAAGTACAATTAGATGGCTTTGCTGCATAAATTTTTCAAAATTTAACAAAGATAGGGATGTCTTCATGTGGATTTAGTAATGTTGAATTTTATTTCTGTTTTGTTTTTTGTTTGTCTTTGTCTCTGTGTGTGTGGCAGCACGCCAACTTTTGCAATGAAAGAAAACACTTTCTAGTCAAAATTGTTCACTTATTTGATGGGACTTAATGAATCGTTTGATGGAACTTTAACAGTGTTGGAGAGTTCCATCACTCTCCTGACTTTCTTGTTTGTTTTTCCTTTAGGTGTTCTGGGGTCATTGCATCAATGCCTTGATCCATTCCGTCATTCTTTTCTGGCTTCCCCTGAAAGCACTAGAACATGGTAAATAAATGTGTTGTTCTTTCCCATATGTTAACTAAGTAGTCTTCAATCTTTCTAAGCCAGGACTTTTATATTGGGGTCAAAACATGTTGCTTGGAAATTAATCATTGCAGACAGACCAACAGCTTTCTAACATTTATCAGCAATGACCTTCCAAATCCTCCCTTTCTGCATGCCATCTTTAATAGATAGCAATTCACATCCATTATAAATCACAATGTCCATTGGTGAAGCTATGTTTATTTAAAATTGATTTACACATTAAAAAGAACCAGGTACATTGGTGTTATGCAGCTTCCCTTACTGTAAGTCTTATCACTTGGTTTAGACTAATGAAAACAGGAATTTGGCCAAATATTTACTTGCCTGACCTGATAATTTAAAGAGAATCATTTTTGTGAGATGGCTCCTGCTCAACTTTGTTTTTCAAAAGTTCTGCTGATTCTGCTGCATTATGGGTGTCAGATCCAGGGTGCAAAAATCCAGATAACTGCTAGATAGAAGCAAAAAGTTAGAGTTTGTTTTCCAAGTTTTGTAATAGTGATCATCAAATTTATATTAGATCAAAACTTACTGATTTTAAAATGCCATCTTCAGAAGCACTTCAGAAGATTTAAACTGGAACTGGTAAAGATTTTTATAAACTATTTCCACATGAACATGCTAAATTGCTGTTGTTACTTAAGCAGAAGGGATGAGAAAATTTCTATCTGTATTTGAAGAAATATTTTAAATGTTGAAATGAAAACTGTCATTCACCTATATATAAGGGTATGTCCTTTAAACATCTCTGCAGTTAATAGAGACTTTAGCAGCCTTAGAAATGCATGCTTGCAATATGTCTTTACCATCTCTGTCATTGTTAGGAATTGGTTCAAAAGGAATCTTTGCAAAATCATGGGATACTAGACACAGGACCATATGTCAGGGTAAAATATATAAACAAAGCAATGACATTGATATAACTATCAATATATAAGCATCAGAATATAATTGATTGTTCCACAGTACTTTCACAAACAATGTGCTCTCAAGCCCTGAAATTTCCAGTATGTCCTCAATGCAATGTGTCCTCACTGCTCAGTAAACCTCACCCATTGTCATGGTATGTGAAAAAGACCTTGAGAGACAGGAAGAAGGGCTGCAATCTAGACAGCACTCTGATAATGAAATCTGAATCCAAAGGAGAAAGTAGGAATACTAGTTTTAGGGAGAATTAGTTTAAGGAAGGTGAAATATATTTTTACACTTGCAAGATGTTCTTATTGTAATTTTACCCTAAAGATAGTGTTATTACTCAGTTATGCTTCTTTTCTGGACTACCTCAAAGGGCTAACACCCTTTTGATCTCTGCTTTGTCCTCATGCTGAAGTTTGTAAAACATTTCAGCAGCTTTCAAGAGAAAGGAAGCAAGATGGGCAGTCAGTTTCCTCACTCAAACAAGAAAAAACAGAAGAAATGTATGTTCCACAAAATTTGTTCCAGATGTTCTGAACAACCAGACATTTGGACTTCTTGCAATTTGTCAGTGTTGACTAGCTGTCTTTACCATGTGACTGCTGGAAAGAAGTCCAGCAGTGGATGAAGGACATAATCCATATCCCCTGGAAAAGTAATTGCAGAAGGATAAAGAGATACCAGGGATGGAAAGAGTCAGCAATCTTGGTTAATCTTACTCTAAATACTGTAGATACTGAGGGTGAAGGTTGATTCTCCAAACTTGTGGGTTTTGTTACGAGGCTAGGTAATATTTTCAGCAGAGTTTAGGAGATGTCAGTGTCAGTGTTCTTCTATTTTTAAGGGCTTAAAGTGTTAGTGTGTCAAGTCTTGTGATGGGTCTTGTGATGGGGAGGATACATCAAGTCAGGATCATTGGGAGCTGAACTACTAGTGGGAGGGGGGGCTTCCGTGGTTGGTTGAGGGTCGGTGCTGTCTGTGGTTGGCTGTGTGGTTGATTTGGATTCTGAAGGGTTCATAGGCTGGTTGTAGGTCGAAGTTTCTATTGATGAAATTGCTGGTGGAGTGCCAGGCTTCGATGAACTCGCGAGCGTGGCGGGTGGTAGCACGGCCGATGATTTTTGTGTTGTTCCAATCGAACTGGTGCTGTTTGGTGTCAGTGTGGGTAGAAATTAAGGATTTGGGATTGTGGCGTTTGACTACCAGCCGGTGTTTGTGGATCCTGGTTTTTAACTGACATGATGTTTGTCCCATTGTAGATACTAATAGGCAGAGGACAGCCAGTTTAGTGTAGTGGTTAGGGCATCAGGCTAGAATCCAGAGATTGTGAGTTCTAGTCCACTTTAGATATGAAGCCAGAGTGACTTTGGGCCAATTAAACTCTCTCAGCCCTAGAAGAAGGCAATGGTAAACCACTTCTAAACTGCAGGGATTTGTCCAGGCAGTCACCAGGAGTCAAGACTGACTTGTAAACAAGGTGATAAAACTGTCCAATGTCACCTTTTATGTTGCCCCAGTGACTAGCTATTGGCATGAAGATTCTCTGCAACAGTGGACTAGATACAAATAATTCTAATCTTATTTTGGGAGAGTAATAGACATGTGTCAGTCCCAGGTTAATTGGCACAGGGGAGGGGAATTGGAAAGCAGGAGGAAACGCTGAGATTATGCAAGCTGGACTCTATTCTTCACTCTCTTCTCAGGTGCCTTTTTTGATATATTGCTATGAAGATCAAAAGCAGGTTTGCTATGAAAACCAATGTTCCTGTACATTCAAAGAAGATTAGCATACAAAGTGATTTTTATCACTTATTTTTATCAATTGCTGCTGCTGCTGCCTTTCTGTTTTAAAGAGAATCATTTGCTTTTAAAGGAAGGCCTAGTACTTTCTCTAGCATCCCAGAGAGATAACACATTTTAATGAGCAGCATGTGTGGGATCTGATTTTAGCTTTGGACATCACCAGCTAGACATTATGCCTTCAGAAGCCAAGTGTCATATCTGTCAGCATCCCAAGCCAAAATGGCCACAAAAGTTTGTGTGGAATAATCAGAAGGGAGAGGATGGATGGACTGCAGCCAAAAGTAATCAAGAGATTCTGGGCTCATTCCAGCCTCCAATTACATCATTACATATATACATTACCAGAAATCATGAACTACAAATCATGCATAGAGCAAAGCTTGTGCAGGAGAGAGGAAAACACCATTTTAATATTTGAATTAGCTAAATATGAAAATAGGTGGTTGAATAATTCCAGGAATGAAATGAAGACAATGTCATGAGATCAGGTCCATAAAGAATGGTCAGCAAGGTCTAATCTAGTCTCTGTTAGAGAGACATATAGAACCTTTCTTATGCAAAAGCTTTCTTGTTCTCAGCTTCATTTATAGGGTAAACTTCATGCAGTTTTTGAGCCCACTGTGAATGTGTAATGTTTCTTAACCGTTTTTACTTTATTTTTATTTTTTTAATGTGCTATTGGTAATTCAGATCTGTGATCATAATCAAAATTCTGTTCTAGTTTACAGAGGTTTTTTTGTCTGCTAAATCTTTGTATGTTTTATAATTAAAAATTGTATGTTATGTCACTACTGATTTGAATCAAGCAAATATTCAAATTAAGTTAGTGATATAGTGTCTTCTTGCCATCCCCCATTTGGGTATGTAACAAGTGATTAGTCAGTCCTGAGCCAATGTTTCTATTTTAGATCTCTCTCACCTACATTGATGTATACTTCTTGGGCTGCCATATTGAAACTGATGAATCTTTACGGTTGGGTGATTTTTCTGGATTGTAACCCAATTGAATGAATTTGGGGATATCTATTGCAGCAATGTGTTCTCTTTTTCTCAGAATATCTTATTCCTTTATCCAGCAGAAGTAAATATGGTGATGACAGAAGCATTGCTAAGTTTGTTATTTTGATATATTTAATCGACATACTGTAGGATTTTTTTACAATTACATTGAGGAATTGGATATCAGTGTTGGATAACAGTTGTTTAGTCATTAACTTCACTCAGTTCTTTAAAGATAATGTATCTATTATCTGTGTTAAACAAGGCAGTTTTGAATGTATCATTTGGATGCAGAATTCTTTTTAAATCAAGGGAAATCAAATGAAAATAAACAGAAACGGAATAGCTGGATGTAGTACAGAGGCAGGCACCAAGATGATGTGGTAACTAGAAGTTTTCATCTCTGATGTTTGATTATTATTATCATTGACCCTTTACCTTGATTATTAGTTCTTGGCAGAAATTTTTGGTCTTTTCAATTCTTGAAGGAGAAATGTGTGATTGCAGATGTGTGTATATTATTTTTAACTTGTGGTTCAGTGTAAGCTACTTGTTATACTGTTTGTTTTCAATGTGTTTTATTTAAAGACTTCTGAGAAACCTGTTGTGCAAATTTCACAACAGATAACTGTCTAAAGCTTGTCAAGAAATGCACACATTATGGACTCTTTCTAAATGTCTCCCAGTCAGTTGCATTACCTTTTATATTTTCAGAAAAATGATATTTAAGTTGCACAATTAAATGTAATAAAAATGATACAACCCTCTGCTCTTTATGCTGGGCCTCCTGTTTGGTTTAAGACATTTCAGCACTGAATTTAAGTTAAGTGGGATTCTATACTATACTATCCCATTGAACTTGGTGGGATTTACTTTTGAGTAACTGCATATACTGTATTTGCATTTTCATTGATTGTATTTTCATTTCATTTTCATTGAATACATTATTGTATTTCATTTATTTGCAAATCTTACTTTAAATAACCTTTACATGAGAAAAAAATCCTTTACTGAACAGGGTATCTATTTTTTTAACTATTTATTGTAGATACAGTATTTACAAGTGGCCAGGCTGTTGACTACCTGTTTGTTGGAAATATTGTTTATACGGTAAGCTAATCCATAAAAAAATGAAGCAATATATCCTTAGATCTGATTGACTTTGATTATGGATGTATTTCTGTGATGAATGTGTCTACGAAGGGGGATATGGTGTGAAGTAGCAATTTCCTAGGAAGGAGGAAACAGATTCTAAGAAGAGGGGTGAAACAAAAGATAGCAAAACCTGGAGCTGAATCAGAGATTTAGGATAGCCACTCCCTAGAATCTCCTAGGGCAGAGGACCCCAACCCCCGGTCCGTGGACCAGTACCGGTCCGTGGCATGCCAGCAACTGGGCCGCACAAATAAGCAAAGCCCCTTCCATGGGATGCAGGCAGCACAGAAAACCACACACACTCCGGTCTGCAGAAAAACCTCTCTCCACGGGATTGGTCCCTGGTGCCCAAAAGGTTGGGGACCTCTGTCCTAGGGTACATCTGTTGGGGTGAGAATAAGATTCTGTCTATTTGTTGGGGTGATAATAAGATTCTGTCTATTTGCCATGAGCAAATAGAGAACTGAACTTTGGTTGGATTGTTCTAAGACATCCGTGGGCTAGATCTGATATTTTCCTATGGTTGGATAAAATAAAATAATAAAGTAAAATAAAATAAAATAAAATGTGTACAGTGTGCTTAGGCGTGCCATTATTATGCCATAGAAAGTTGTGCCTATTGAATTTCTCAAACTGGGCAGCTATTAAAAGACAAAGAATTTTGCCAGAGGAAGTTATGGCAACCTACTGGAAGGTAATTGATACTAGGAGTATTGAGGAAGAGATGTGGCTTTAGGTCTATTGGAAATATATAAGAATTTATATACAGATATTTCTGATTCATGATTGAATTATTCTGGTTCTTATCACAGTTCCAATGTACCAAGTCCTGGGATTCCCACACATCCTAGTAGAAACTACCTACATGCCCTGTCATGTGGCTATAGAAGTTCAGGAATGTATAGAATTAATTTATTCTGATTCTATTAGCCCTGTCATAAAGCAGATTAAGCATGTAATTGTGCTGTATAATAGCTAGCTAGTAATTACTAGATCCTACAATCAGGACAGAGGCATAGGAGCGTGTGTGTGTGTGTGTGTGTGTGTATCTCCCCCTATCATTTCTGAATTTCTGTACTTCTGAAATGTGCTAAATATTACATTTAGCAAAAGGAAATGACATTTAATTTCTACTATTTAGATGGGTCCCTAATCCCTGGGCTGCGGCCCACTACTGGGCCATGGCCTGTTTGGAACCGGGCCACATGAATGGTGGACTGGCGCCCGCACATGCAGCTTGAGTTGCATGCATGAGTGGTGGGCTAGCACATGCATGCCACTTCCATGGGCCCCTCTCCCCCCCCCGTGGGACCTCCAAGCCATAAAAGTTGGGGATCACTGGTTTAGACCATGCTTTTGCAATGTACTATATCTTTTACCCAAAGAAAAACAAGAGAACAACTATGAATGGAAAATACATGCTGGAATTCAAATTTCTCCTCTACTTTTTTTACTGCAGTATGTTGTGGTAACAGTCTGTTTGAAAGCTGGCTTAGAAACCACAGCATGGACAAAGGTGAGTATAACTATTAAGTCAATAGAAGGAATTTCAAATTCATTTTCTATCTAAAATTGAATTGCAATTTTATCCAGAAAAAAATTCATTAATTCATTTTCAGAATTCACACCTAAAATAACATGAGGACAATGATGTAGCCTTTAGATAGAGATGTAGACGGTCACTGGGGGCTCATAGACATTTGAAGAATTTCATGGAGCTATGATTCAGTAAAAACAGCATGTTTATTAATAAACGTTTTCATCTTTTGTATTTGACAATTAAAATGGGAAAGATATAGATCACAGAAGTCACAAGATGAATTGCTCTGCCTGGAAATGATCTTCCTTGGAAAGAAGAGGCCTCCACTTCATGTACAATGACTTCCCCCCTTCCCACATACAATATGTCCATTGACCCCCAAGAGCAAAAGTGTGACTTTCCCAAGCAGATACTTGCCAACTAGTTACATTTGACCTAGTCTGACTGACTAGTGCAAAGGTTAAGAAAAAGGCTGGTCTCGCCTAGTCTCGCCTTTGATTTTTCCTGCCTAAATGTAAAACTTTGCTTTTCTCCACATTAAAACTCATTTTGTTGGATAGGGCCCATTGTTCATGTTTGTCGAGATCTTTTTGGATCCTGAGCTTGTCTTCTGGGGTGTTGGCTATTCCTGCCAGTTTGGTGTCATCTGCAAATTTGATGAGTTCCCCTTCTATTCCCTCATCTAAGTCATTAATGAAGATGCTGAAGAATACTGAGCTTAAGACGGAGCCTTGTGGTACCCCACTGCTTACTTCTCTACATGTGGGTGTAGTACCATTGAGGACTACTCGCTGAGTACGGTTTGTCAGCCAGCTACAGATCCATCTGATGGTGTTATTATCTATTCCACCTTTTTCTAGCTTACTAAGCAGCAGGTTGTGGTCTACTCTGTCAAATGCCTTACTGAAGTCTAAGTATACTATGTCCACAGCATTTTGCTGGTCTACTAATTTAGTCACTTTATTAAAGAATGAAATAAGATTGGTTTGGCATGATCTGTTTTTGACAAACCCATGCTGGCTACTGATTATAACTTTGTTTGCTTCTAGTTGTTCGCAGACCTGTTTTTTGATTATCTTATATTGAATTTCAGGATAATATATTTATCTTATCTTCAGCATAATATATTTATCTTATCTTCAGCATAATATATTTATCTAAAACTTTGGAATCCTGCATTATGGCAGTAACTGAAAAATGGTTAATATATTTGTAGCTGGGAAATAGAATCTTGTGCCCCCTTGATCAATTATCCATGATTGGGTCTCTTTCAAATCTTCTCAACTGCAATTTCCATCAACTCCAGCTAGCATAACCAATGGCAATACTATCTGGAGTTGACAAGATTAGGATTGTTGGTCTTATGAGGCACCAAGCCTGGGAAGACTGGAAAAACCATGCCAGAATAACAATTGCTATGAAAGGTTCCTTTTTAAAGAATTTGTTTTAATAATTTATAGAATCATAAAATCACAGGGTTGGAAGAGACTTTGCAGATCTTTTGGTCCAACTCTCTGCCCAGGGCAGAAATCCTTAGGCCAATCAGGACAAATTGCTGTCTAATCTTGTTTGAAGACTTCCAGTGACATAACACAAAAAATCCAAGTGGCAAGCTGTTCAATTGCTTGAAAGTTGTATGGTCAAGAAATTCATTTCAAATTTGCATTTCTCTCTGTTAAGCTCCCACCACTGGTTCTTCTCCTATCTTTGGTGCTCTGGAGAATAACTCTACACCCTCTGCCCTGTGACAGCACTTCAGGTATTGGAAGACCACTGTCAGGTCTCTCTTTAGTATCCCCTTTTTAGGCTAAACACACCTAGTTCTTTAAACTATTCTTTTTAGCATTTAGCATCCAAGTCCTCTCTGTTGCTTATCTGCACTTGGGATCAAGCTGAGATGTTTTACTGTCTTGTTTCATTTTATTGTAGTTCACTTGTCAAACTATTTCCGTGAAATATTGTTTTACTGATTTTAATATTCTACTATGGAGTCCTTTGGGAAGCAGTGTATGCTCATCATTATCTATGGATGGAAAACAGATCACTGACAAAAACAAAAATAAAAGATCACAAGTTAATATGTTGGACCCGAATTCGGTACTTATGTGGAAACTTAAATCCTTCACTGCAAGCATACCTACCTTTTTCATTTTCATATCATTCCCAAACTTTCAATCTTCATCTAAATCTACAGTTGACTGGATAATAAGAATATAAATCTTATTGCAATACTGGGACACATTTCAGTTTTATTAATTATTATAGTTAGATGTTCTCTTATTTTTCACAATAATATTTACATGCATCATTACATTTTTATAAGATGGATGAAACCAGATTTTGAGAAATGTTGTGCTATAGACATCTTGTAAATTTGCTATGTTTGGGGATCATTTAAAACATGTACAGTATTTGTAGTAAGGGAAAGAATAATAATGAAAGAATAATAAAAAAATCTAAATAAGAAAATTTGGAAAATAATATTTATGAATATTTAAAAACATAAGCAAGATAAGCCCCACGTGAGCTATACAGTTGCTTCAGTTAAATTGGAATTTGAACTTAATATCGAATACTCATTGAGTCTTATTAAAGGAAAGTATTGAGACCAAAAAAGAAGGTCATGGTAAATTACTGACCTCTTGATGGAAACAGTGATAATAGCTTAAGATTCTGTAAAATGTATAAGGAATATCCCAAAGATGCTTTTAAATGAGACAACTGGACTTTTTTGTTTTCTCTTTGAAGAAGTTTCGCTTCTCATCCAAGAAGCTTCTTCAGCTCTGACTGGATGGTGGGGAATGGCAGGATTTATACTCCTTTCAGACAGCTGGTCATTTGCATTCTTTTAGAAAGTTGGTGAGGTTTATCTGTGAATAGTGCAAATGGGTGTGGAGCCTTCTTGGAACTGCTGAACTGCTGAAAGGACTGTGTTGTAGACTGGAAGTAGATGATGTTGTATCCACCCCCCTCTGTTGAAAGAGGCTGTTCAGTTGCCCCTTTTGACCCCACTTTCAAACCAGCAATCTTCTCTGTCCAAAATATTTCCATACATGGATATTCACACTACTGTTTTGGCTTCATATTCATAAATGTAGAAATATAAAAATGTATATATATTATATACAATAATAACATTGTTGATATAATAAGGATAATATGTAAATGAAATGTTAAAATATATTTGTAAACCCAGTGGTTTTGAGCTTCCAGGCTAATTATCCATAATAATTAATTAATTGAATTAACGAACACTATACAGAATTTTTAGCAATCTTACCTGAAAAATAATAATCAGCAGCATCTTTTAAAGAGAGACCAATAAAACATTAGCTCCTTTGGAACTTTTTCAAATCATACCAATTAGAAATGTACTTGGATGAAAAATCAATCAGAAATTAGCTTCAAGAATTCCAATGATCTGTTCTAATTAGAGATTTGTTCTGTTATAAACATAAAAGCTCATTAGTTCCTGCTAAGTTGCTTGTGGGTTGCCAAGAAATGTGCTACAAAGTAGACCACGTTAAACTCTGAAGATGGCTCCCACAATTCCTGGCAAAACGTTAATTAATTAGACCATAGCTTAAAACCCTGGAAGCTTATCATCACCATTGGTTCATATTGTGAGGAAGTGAAACTGGGATAGCTGCCTGCAGCTAAGCAGAAATGCTTCTCATTCCCATTTCCTAAAGGCTTAGTACAGCTCCTGATTATTCCCAGAAACTTGAGAGGAGTTGGCTCATTTACTCATTCATTCATTCCCTCCTACTCACAATTTACTCACAAGCAGCCATGCCAGCATTCCATCTACCTGGCTAATTCAGCCATACTTTATACTATGGTGTGACCAGTATTGGAAAACAAATATAATTGCTAATCTGGAACTGTTCATAGGTGCTGGACTACAATTCCCAAAAGTTTCCATTAGCATGTCCAGAGAATGTTGCAGTTGTTTAAAACATCTAGAGAGCCCTAAATTGTCAGCCCCTGAATCGCATTGTCAGAATTTGAAGAATTAAAAGCCGTCTATGAAAATGTCATTTGTTTGATGATGAGCTTTGTTTATGTTTTAGCATTTTTTCTATTATTAGATTTAGTTTAAAGGGAAGATTGCAGAAAAAGGTTCAAAATTCAAAAACATTCTTAGGAATTAATTTGCTTTGTGTATTCAAGATATCAGGCACTATATAGAAGCTATTTTCTAGCGGCTTACAGGAATTATAAGAAACAGCGTTACCAAAAAAAATCCCTAAAAATTAAAGCTAATTTATTATGAAATTAATTAGCAATCATAATACATGAAACATTTTTGGGGGCCATAATCACTTAAGGGGCAGAAAGAGAGTCTCTATTTTGATTTGTTATTTTAGAGTATTTTTTTTTAATCTATCTATAAATCCACAACTTTTTATATTTATCATTTCTTAACTTTCATACTGTTTGTCTAATCTGCAGTATAGTCTTTGCTAGTCTTTACTTTTAGTCTGTCCCCAGTTTTAATTCTCATATTCATATTCTTTCATTTTCCTGTTTCCTTTCTGCTGCTTCTCAGCAGTTGTCTTTGTATTGAACAAGCCAATTTTCTTCACTGCATAGATTTATTCCCTTCAATCTATATCAGGGGTAATCAACCTTGGCTCTTTTATGACTCGTGGACTTCAACTCCCAGAATTCCTGAGCCAGCTGGCTCAGGAATTCTGGGAGTTGAAGTCCACGAGTCATAAAAGAGCCAAGGTTGACTACCCCTGATCTATATAATGGATTTGAGGGAAAATGCAATGCTATGTTAAGTGCTATGTGGAACCACAACTATAATTCTGTCTGGTCGTGGGCCATAGCAGTGCCTCAGCAGTTCTAAGGAATCTTAGCAAGTCTCCGACAACATTAGTTCCATTTTAAAGTACTCCCAAGATTGAACCAGGCACTTTTGACTCTTCGGAGATCTAATTTGCATTGAAGAAACTATGACTACACATGCTTGTATGTTTGCATGTCTAAAACCCCACAAAGAATTATCAGCCAATCAGTTCTTATCCTTTCTGGTGTGAAACCTTGACATTTCTGATAATTCACTATTATCATTTCCTGAACTGAAATTACATTTCCTTATTCAACCATAAAGTAGCATTGGCACTAGGATGGATTGCAAACATGATGATGGTGATGATAATGATTATGATGATGATGATATGCAATCAGCAGTGGGTTTTATGTTGTCTCAGTGCCAGGACTCCACTGTTGTTTGCAAGACTCCTCCCCAATTTATTATTATTATTATTTAAATTTATATACCGCCCTATCTCCCTTACGGGACTCAGGGCGGTGAACAGGCAATAATAAAAATCACAGTAAATATTACATAAAAGCCTGCTCTAAAATATAAAACCCCTAACAAAACCCAATTAAAACTACGCCAGGCCGGCCGCATGGAACAGATGAGTTTTCAGGGCTTGGCGGAAGAGGCGCAGGTCCGCAATTGTACGTAGGTCAGGGGGCAGGTCATTCCAGAGGGCAGGAGCTGCCACAGAGAAGGCTCTCCCCCTGGGGGTCGCCAGCCGGCATTGGCTGGCCGACGGTACCCTAAGGAGGCCAGCCAATTTGAAGTATGTTATGTGTTTATTTGCTTTCCTTCTTTTTTATTTCTGTAGTGTTTTAATATATTGTTCTTAATCCTCTTCCTGGCAAGGATTTTACAAGCCATTCAGTGGCTTTATAGTTTAGAATTATATATATATATTCCTAAACAAACAAACAAACAAAAAGAATATATAGTTTATTTACAGCTATTCCTTCCCTCCATCCATCCATCCCTCCCTTTTTCTTCTTTCTTTCTTTCTTTCTTTCTTTCTTTCTTTCTTTCTTTCTTTCTTTCTTTCTTTCTTTCTTTCTTATCACAGGGTTTAAATTGACAACCTTTCTCCAATCTTCTGCCAAATGCAATCTTTCCATCCTGGGCCAGGTGAAAGGCAAGGTGCAGAGAAGGAAATGCTAGAACAAGAGGGGGCAGGGAGTATAAGGACTTGGAGTTGCCTCACTCACTTTGGCTTTCTCTCCACTCAAATGAATGTGAGGAGCAGTGCAAGAGAAGTCTAAGTGGCTATTAGAAACTCAGAGCTCATAGAAACAATATGCCTTTTAATATAAAAGGATAGATGTTTCAGGTGGACGTCTTGTAGAAAACCTATTGATCATGTAAAGGCTGCAATGTTACATTCATTTTCCTAGAATTATGTGCTGACTGACCAGACATTTCACATCTCTGGGGAATCCATATGGTTTTTGAAAATATTATAGCACTGTTAGGACCAAAATGTTTTTCTCCTTCAGTTTAGCGCACTTGAAACATCATGGAGAACTTCACATGTGAATGCACACTAAGAATCTGCATATTTTTAAGTCTGAGTGGCATAAAATCAAGTGTCAGTCTTGAGTGAGATTGGCCAAAGGTTTGGTGGAGAAAAAAGGGGCTCAAAGTAAAATAATAGCTGAGGGGCCAAGTAAGGCTAGCAAGGGAGAAGGAAGACCTGTGCAATCTTGATGGTATGTTTCTTTTCTCCTACAGTTCAGTCACTTGGCTGTCTGGGGAAGCATGCTGCTCTGGCTCGTCTTCTTTGGCGTCTACTCTACTATCTGGCCTGTCATTCCTATAGCCCCAGACATGCTTGGACAGGTGAGTCATTTGCTGTCAAAGATCAAAGATCAAGGAGTTTTGGTCACCCAAAACTATCCGAAGTGGCATTTAAGTAAACCCGTGGATTGGTTGATTTTAAGAAAAAATCTACTGAAAGCTTATTTTCGTTTTATTTAAAACATTCTCAAGAGTGGAAAATGTTGCATATTTATTTTTTAAAAAAAATAGATAATTGCATAAAATGTAAACAATGGGACTTTAATTCAAATCAAGGTTTATTTCCATTTAAATGTTGGGGGAATGTAGCTTTTCTGTGGGCTCACATAAGAAACTTAATAGTGGTGAATAAAAACACATATTATGGTTTATCATGATGGCTTGGTTTCTATAACACTGTGAACCACAAACTACTAAGTTTCTTATTTTCATGTGGTGTAGTGTGTTGTGACTCCAGCCAATAAGTGATAGAAAGCCACTGTTCACATAATATATTTACTAGCGTTGCCACAAAGCTTACTCAGTCAAAGAAATATTAATCATTGATTGTGTCTGCATATGAATGAACTCAATCATTCCTCCAAGGGAACTGGATAAATAAATCATAGAAGTTCATTCGCTGATTATTTAGGAAGCTAGGAACTCTGGATTGTTCTTCTTGTAACGAGTCAGAGTTGGAAAGCAGTTATAAACAATAGACCTTGCCACCTAGCAAGACGACAATGTTGGAGCAACCTATTCAAGCATGTTAATTAGTCACAGAAAACCTAGGAATTTGTAGCAAATGAGTTTAGCATGATATGTAAATTATTAAATTAGTTTTCCTTAATTGCAGTGAGGAATATTTTGGTGGATAGGGAGTTGCATTCAATAATTGAGGAAAAGGCTAGCGTTGATGGAGTGAGGAATAGATTGAGCTGAGATTTTGCCATGATTGTATCTTTCTTTTAGGTTAGCTGGGAGTTTCCTTACTTTTTAAACCTTTATATGTCACACTTACTCTGGGATGCCAGAGTATAGACCAAAATGATGCTAAAAGACCATATTGGGACCGTTGGAACAAAATTGCCCATTCTGGGAATGTTGAATTAAAACTGAATTAAAACTGCCTACATTTGGGTAGAACAACAACAACAAAAGGGTTATCCAAGTGGGAAGACTTGCTTTCAGAATGTGCTGTTCATGAGACTTCTTCTCCAGCAGTGGTGTCTCCCATTTGTTGTTTTAATAAGTACTGAGAATTGTTATGCATTCAGTCACAGATTTTTTTTTGAGTAAATATTTTAAATATTGCTTTAATAATCATCAATAAATTGGAATGAAATCAAAACAAAAACATACACAAGTCCCAAGGCAAAGTGCTTATGAATAATCCTTATTATATATATTTAAAAACATTATTATGTATAATACATATTTTATATTATAACATATTTTCTGCTGCAAAAACTCAGTTTCAGTTTCTATCAGTGGAGAGAACGAGGGAGAGGTACTGTAATTCCTGTGTACTGTGTACATCATTAGCTGGATACATGCGTTTAACGTTGTTTTGCATTTTATTGTGAATTTACAAACTTCCTGACACGTGCACTGAACGCAATTTTACCAATTTTACCACATTTTGCAATAGGAATTGTAAATAGCAACAATAGCTGAGTACTGTATGAATGCACACATAAGGGGAAAACCCATAGACAAATTAATACTTTAATGGTAAAGGTGGCATATAAGAATGTTGGGGGGATAATTGCATAGAACTGTGTCCTTAGAAGAAATGTTTATGAAAACATATGCAAAATTTTATGTTGACATTTTACATACAAACTGCCAAATGATGTGTAATGGGGTGGAGGTAATCAAAAGCTAGAAAAAGAGAAATCTGAGCAAGATTGATTTTGACAGATCATCCACTCCTAGTCATTGGCATGCATTTTGATTGTACATTAATACTCTCCTTAGAAGGTTTCCTAGTTGGTGGATTCTTTTACAAAACACCATTTGTAAACCAAAAGTTTTTGCAAGGCATATTATATGTCTACTCGGGACCTTGAGTGTTCTTTTTCTCTGACTTGTGGAAATGAAAGGAAATATACCTGCATAATAAATTATTGGGGATTATAACCAGAAAGGAGCTCCGCATGTCACTTATAGTTAACTCTTAGAATGCTGGTGGGATTTTGGATTTGCTCTTTCAATATCTATTCTGTTCCAGTTGGTGAAATTTTTCCCTTCAGTGTCATGATTTCAGTCTTTGGAGAATAGGGCGAAATAATGATCCTGTCAAGATCACTTAAGTGTCCAGTGGGAACAAGAAAAATAGGAGACTACTGGGATTTCTTTAAAAAAAATTTTTTTAAAAAAAAGAGGACTTAAGAAATAAAATCAGTTTGTGCCCTTTGTGATAAAATAATTGTGCTCTCTGTTAGTAGATGAAATAAAGTTTGCAACATGTATGTTTGCCCCATTTGTACCTTGCTTTTTTATAATAGAAGGGAAATGTTTTTATGAATAAAATAAAAGATTTCAAAATGAAATCCAAGCTCCAAAGGAGTTTCTAGAGTGCACATGAGCCTGAATCACCTTTCCCAGTGTTATAATATTTCCCAGAGAGAAGAAAAACTCCAAATCTGTGTTGCTGATCCTTCCTGCCAAGCCAGATAGTGCAAGGACAAATATGTCAGCAGCAGAGTGTAATGCCATCACGTATGCTAAGCAATTTATAGCAGAGGAGAACAGCACAGCCTTTCACTTTGGAGATGTCTGAATTACACCATTGTGCAATCTCCGACCTTCTTTCTAAATTGAGGGCCTTGCTGGTTCTCCTTTCTCTACAATCCCATTTCAACAATTGTCCATCATAGGAACATTACCTTTTTGTTTGGAGTGAAGGAAAGCTTCACTTTCCTTTCCATAACACCTTTCAGGTGTAAGAATTACTCAGCATATGAGCAGTGGCTATTAGCCTGTTGTTGCTGTACACACATGCAAACAGTCCATGGGATAAAAATGTTGGAGAGGCATGCTTGAAGAACAAGAGCAATTCTAGGTTCACTGTGGAGAGGAAGGGAAGGGAGATGGTCCATGGAGTCATCAGCACTCAACGCTGCAGTGGGTCTGTGCAGCTCAGAAGATGGATGGGAGTAATAGAGGACAACTATTATGAATGAATACATGGACCATTTATTCAAAGTCCATAGCTTGGTAATACATGGTTCGTCTTCCAAAGTTAAGCCCTGACCTTTCAAGTAAGGTCGGAAAAGATCCAGAAAACCATGACTAGTGAGTATAATAAGTGTAATAAGTTAGAGGGGACAGTTGTCAATTCACTGTAGAGCAGCTTCTTCTTCATTGATTGTCTTCTCCCTGTACCTCTTATGCAAACATTCTGATCAGAGAAGGGATAGAGATTGAAATCAATCAGCAATGAAAACTGAGTTCTGCTCCTAAGAAGGAAAAAGAGAAATATAAAACAGAAAATTAACAACTTTATTTTTACAAAACATATCTCTACTTCCAAAAAGAAGCAAAATAATAACCAACCAGAAAAGGACATTTTAAATATTACTTATCACTTCTGAAGTTTCTAATAACTTCTGTTAAACAAAGGAACTATGTTCATCATTCTCTATCAAAGTTGGTAATGATCTAATAAATATTACATTTCTGTTCTGGTTTAAGATAGGGGATAATTGGGTTTTAAACAATTGGCATGGACAGATTTCTAGGGTGAGGAGAAAGAATGACAGCTGACAAAACAGGATTTGCCAGGATGCCTATGATTGGCAGAGAAACAACCAAGTCCTTAGATATTAATAATAATAATAATAATAATAATAATAATAATAATAATAATAATAATAATAATAATAATAATAATAATAGTAAAGTTGGAAGGAACCTTGAAGGTCATCTAGTCCAACCCCCTGCTCAGGGAGGAAACCCTATACCATTTCGGACAAATGGCTGTCCAGTCTCTTCTTAAAAACTTCCAGTGTTTTTGGCATCATGATTCTAATTCAGATTTCCATAAATTAGGCTGGATTGATTAAAAGCATCATACAAAGCAATTAAATGCCTTTTTAAAAAAATACTGTATGATAAGCTCAAATGTATTGGCTAATTAATATATATATTTTACTGGACTTATTTCTGACAACTAGGTATGCCATTTAAGCTATAAGTTAGCTCTATTTGTTTTTATACCTAATAAATTAAATAATATATTTTTTGTGCTCTCATTTAACCAGAAACTGATTGCTTTGTTTTTGCATACCAGTTTTATTCTGAACATAAATCAAAATCAAATCAGGACAAGTTCAGTTACAATTAAAAACTAATCAAGGTAATTTTGAGATCTGAATGATTCCTGGAAGAGCGAGAATAGTTCCAATTAAATAATATCACATGGTGAACAGTATATTATTAATTAGCTAATGAGATTTCCCTATGTAATAATGTCATTCAAAACTTTCTGAACAGTATAACTGAATAAGCAAACATTTCTTCAGCTGCATTAAAATTGTCTGAAGCAAAAAAGTTTTTTTTAACAATGATGAAATAGTTGTGGTAGCCTTCAAGTAATTTGAGCTCAGTCCTAATTTTGTTGTAGCTACAAGGAAAGTATATATGATTGTGTCACACGTGTGGTTAAACATCTGCTCCAGCATAACATTCAGATCTCTGTATAAAGAACTTACACAGAAGCATTTAGTTTCTGTGTGAATTTTCTACAAAATATTTTCTGCTTCAAGCATGCTACTTAATACTCTTTGATCTCACGCGCGTGCACACACACACACAAACAGAGAGTGAGTTCTGTATTATTACCAGTAAAATGACAGGATGACAGGTGTGAACTTTGTCTCAAAGGAGGAGTTGTTGCATGTTTATAGAATGTAATGTTGCTCAAAAGAAATCCATAGGCCATAATAATGCATAGACCTAAACATGCATATAAACTAGGTGTTTGACACTTAAGTCTCCTAGAATCTTGATTAAGAAAAAGTTGGCTGCCCAGATTCCTTCCATTTTGTAACACATGA